AACACACACCATAACTAAACTGTACCTCGTTGTAGCAGCTCTGTGTCTTCCAGCTGTTGAGAACACCTTCATGGTACCCGTTGTTGAGGTAGGTGAAGTGCAGCTCTCTCAACTCCTTCAAGGCCGTGGGACAGTCTGACCTGAGGGTGAGGGTAGGTGAAGGTGAGTGAGGGTAGGTGAGGGTGTGAGTGAGGGAAGGTGAGGGTGAGGGTATGGGTGAAGGTGAAGGTGTGGGTGAGGGTATGGGTGAAGGTGATGGTGTGAGTGAGGGAAGGTGAAGGTGTGAGTGAGGGTAGGTGAAGGTGAAGGTAAGGGTAGGTGAGGATGAAGGTATGGGTGAGGGTGAAGGTAAGGGTGAGGGTGAAGGTAGGGGTAGGTGAAGGTGAGGGTGAAGGTATGGGTGAGGGTGAAGGTATGGGTGAGGGTAGGGTGAGGGTGAGGTTTATCAGTTACCAGAATCAATGTGAAGTTATATGACAATTTAGCTGAAAAAATATCTCTCTATCTATAGGTGGTAAGACTGACCTGGAGGGGGGGGGGAGGGAGGCAACAGGTCATAAGAATGGAGGAAACCGCAGCTGCCCTTATTGATTTCACATTGTAAGACTGACCTGGGAGAGCAGTTGCAACAGGTCAAGCGTTAGACTGACCTGGGGGGGTTGTAGTTGCAAGTCTCGCCACCCATAGGAAGGTATTTGGTCTCCTCCTGTAGGAAGGGATAGTCTACCGCTATGTTCTCGTAGGTGCCGTAGTCAGTGTCCGACGCCAGGAAGCAGTCGTTGTGGATTCCCAACCTCGCTACCTGAAAAAAAAAACATCAACTTTGTTAACTAAATTCTCCGGTCGAGTGCAAAAAGGGGCTAATATCACAAGAAAATCAACCCTTAGATATATGTTTCCAAGGCAAATACAGCTGGAAGCCCCACTTGGTCCCTAGCACCAACCGGAGGGAGGGTTAACTAAACTCACAACACTGGGTGGAGGGAGGGAGGGTTCTGTCCGATTACAAAAGCAGGTGTCTGGAGGAGAAGGTAGTGTTTACTGCTCTGTATACCAAGAAGTTAGTTAGATCATAATATTAGAGAAGTTTGTAGTCTGGGGAAGGATTTGTCATTAGCTCATAAATACAGGAGGGACGTGTGTGTGGGGGATCATCGTAGGTTCACCTCATTGTAGGGATTCAATTTGTCTGAGGTTTTGAACACTGGCCGGGTTTGTTGTGTCTTGGTAACTGGTAAGTAAAGGACGCCACTAGAAATAAACTTTAGATTGTTTTTTTTTTTTTTATGTTTTCCTTGATCGAATTTACTTACTTTATACCACTGTTTGTTGTCTGTACTGTCTAGGTACAGAGGCGGGAGGGAGAGAGGGAGTAGTTGGGGACATGACATGCACAGCTTGCACTAATGATGTATTGTAAATAACTCAATACACCAAACAACCACAATAATGCCGTAAAAAGTTAAATGTTTGAGGAGGCGTTTCCAAGTCTTACCTACACACCCACCCTCCTTCCTCCTCTCCTTACCTGCCGATTTTTTTTATAACTGTACATTGTTTGTATACCTCTATAATCTATGCATACTGTATACCTACATTGTGTAAATACAGGAATAATTAATGGAAACTTGTATGGCGATTTTACTGACTATCTACAGTATCCAGGATGACTGACCATTGTGTCGTAGTAGGCCTCGTTCTTGGTGATGGGGGAGGTTCTGTTCAGGAGCACTTTCTTGTACTTAGGCGTCCGTAACTGGATGTGCCTGTGGGGTGACACCGGAGTTTGTACAAGCATAAGGCATAGAGACACACAGTTACACATAGAGCAAACTAGTACTTCAGGGTTACTCAATTTTTATTGTGAGGGCTGACGACGTGACAGAGGGTAGCGCCCACCTTGTCCAATCTATTAAGTTTCGTCAAGTACAATTACATCGATAAATAAACAGGTATGGTTTATAGGACTATGTTTACTTTTTTGTTAGTAATGTCATTATTATGGCCGCTATTGAGAGATTTTAACGTTTATACTCTTTCTTGCGACAAATGTAAATACAACACCTGGAGGCCGGGATAGCGTTCATTAGCTGGGAGAGCACAGTGCCACGATCCATCCAGTTGGCTTGAGAGATGACTCCTTCGTCACCGTAGTTTTCGGTGTAGTACCATTCCCCCCACACCCCGATAAAACCAGCCTGCACCACTGCTATCACCCCAGCATGTTCCTGCCACACCAATACATAAAAGTTAGCAAGTTCATTCTTCATGCCAAACCAAAGTCAATTCTGCTTGAAAATATTATACGACTGTGAGTTACATGATATATATTAAAGACCCAAAAGATATTAATAAAACACCCAAAGTTATATTGATGTGTCAGGTCTGGATATATTAAGCTTTTAATATCTGTGAATTCTACTGTGTGGAGAAAATTTTTAATAATCTGAAGGTTTATGGGATATAATGTTTTTTACTGATAAACTGTTCACAAGAGGTGTATTTGGGTTCGGTAAGGTATCAAGCAGTAAGAGAGGAACTTATTGAATTGCTCACGTCCAGGATGGGTGTCAGCTGGTTCAGATGAGAGAGCAACTGGTTAAGCTTGGCATCACTTTTAATAGACTCGCTGATGGAGTAACAGAGCCTCAACAACACCTGTAACAAAAGCCTCGGTAAGCTTCCACAACAGTTATCAAGATTTTTTTTGTTGGCATAATTATATGAAGAGGAAAAATGTTTTGATGAAGATATAATTGGGTATGGGATATCCACCAGCACTCTTACACCATAGTTATAGGTTAAATCCAGACCAGTTTTAACTTCTTTTTGATCGGTAACGCATTTGAGGGCCGTAAAGTGCCTTGCCCTACCTTCATCCCAGCCTCCCTCAAGGTGTCAAAATCCTCTCCGATCTTCAGCAGGATGTCGTCGGAAATATTGCTGTTAACGAAGGTGTCCAGTATCACATATCTGAAAAATGATGTAGATGGTATAGCCACCGGAGAGAGAGAGAGAGAGAGAGAGAGAGAGAGAGAGAGAGAGAGAGAGAGAGCACATTTGGTGTAACAGTTCTTGTCACCTGATACCATAGTAATCTATATAAAATAACACAACATAATCGTCGATAAAATACCTATAATATTTAAAACTAAGTCAAACTATGCTTAAAAAGATTACACATCAACCTGTGTAGGTCTGCCTCCTCGATCAAACATTAAAAACTCCACTATCAGGAAATAAGACAACTGCTCCAGGAACCAAGGCTAGGCGGTAATAACCATCCCCTCCTTGATCCCTGCATCCTAAGGTACTCCAGACTAGGACACCCGAGCAACAAGGGGACCAGACAGTCTTCACACACACACTAGCTGGGGCTCCTGGGTCATTATGTGGTTGTGTGTCAGTCTAGAGTGGGTAATGTGAGGTCTGGCCAGGGCTGCGTCCCATCGAGAGAGAGAGAGAGAGAGAGGTACCTAAATATAAGCGTGTAGCCTTGCTGGACAAACGACTGGAGATCTGCAACGTTGAGAGGGTTCCAGTTCGAGGTGCTGGTCTCTGTATAGGTGTAGAATCCTCTCTCAGGGTTGCCTCGTCCCGCACCAAGTACAGTCATATTCGGTTCTGACAAACACACGTAAACTGATACGTAAACAATGAAAAGGAGACGAGCCATGGCAAAATTAAGTAATTTATTGTAATATATAACAATGACCTTGACGAGTTCCATAACAATTTAAAGAACGAGTTACTTAATGCACAGCTTCAGAATATATTACACAGAAAACTAAAATCTATTAAAAATGACCCCAAATGGATAAATAATTTAAAGAATATTATTGGACAAAGGAAGGCGAGAGGTAGGAGAATCAATCATGGTGAAGTTACCTCCGAGATTATTATAAAGTATTGCCAGTAGGGTTAATACCGAGATAAGAAAAGCAAACAGGAATAATGAACTAGAGTTAGTAAGAGAGGCGAAGTCAAACCTCAAGGGATTCTTCCAAATGTATCAAACTAAAACACGAGAAAAGATTGAACCAATAGTCAGATACCGACGAGCTAACTGACAACGACGGAGAAATGAACAATAATTTGAACAAATATTTTTCATCAGTTTTCACCACCGAAAATTTAAACATGATACCCGAGGCACTGACTGTATACAGAGATAGTGAAGAAATAGATTAAGCGAGATAGTAGTGACTAGTAACGATATTAGTAAACAAATAGATAAACTAAAGCCTAATAAGTCACCAGGTCCCGATGAGATATATGCCAGAGTATAAAAGGAATGTAAGGAAGAGCTTAGTATGCCCTTAGCAAATTTTTTTAACATGCCATTAAAAACCGGTGTAGTACCAGAATATTGGAGGATAGCGAATGTGATGCTGATTTTCAAGAAGGGAGATAGATCACGGTCCTCTAACTACCATCTAATCAGTTTAACATCAATCGTAGGCAAATTAATGGAAGCAATAATTTCAAACTCAATTCGAAATCATCTCGAGAAACACAAATTGATCAATGATTCCCAACATGGTCTCACAAGTGGGCGTTCATGTCTGACAAATCTATTATCATTCTTTTCAACTGTTTTTGAATCAGTGGACGACGGACACGATTATGGTGTGGTTTACCCCGATTTCAATAGCTGCCCCCACGAAAAGTCAATACGTAAATTGGAGGCACATGCATCTGAGGTAACGTCACTAATGGAGTACCATTACTAGTTATTATATACATGAACGACATAGATATAGGCGTAGACAGCAACATAAGTGAATTTGCTGACGACACTAAAATAGGGCATGTAATTGAATCTGACGAGGACGCTGCAAAACTACAGGAAGATCTAAAACAATTTTTTTACATGGTCTGAAAAATAGCAGGTGAAATTTGATGTGGAAAATGTAATGTATTTAGCCTAGGAGATGTAAACAGAGAAACCGGATATCAGATGAACAACGATGTTATTGAGAAATTCGACTGTGAGAAAGATTTAGAGGTAATGATAAGTAGGAATCTTAAACCAAGACAACAATGTGTATTTGCTCGAAACAAGGCTAACTAAGTACTTGGGTTCATACAAAGGAGTGTTAGCAACAAGACTAGCGAGGTCATCCTAAAACTATATCTTGCACTTGTGAGACCTCACTCGGATTACGCAGTTCAATTCTGGTCACCGTATTACAGAATGGATATAAAATCCCTAGAAAGCATTCAGAGGAGGATAACAAGCCTAATCCCGGGCATTAACAACCTGAGTATAGAGACAGATTAAAGCAATGGTTTTAAATTAGACAAATTTAGATTCAGGCGCGAGATAGGTAAACACTGGTTTGAAAACAGAGTAGTGGACGAGTGGAACAAGTTACCAAACATCATCATTAACTCGAACACGCTAGATAGTTTCAAACATAGGTTGGATGGATATATGAGTGATAGGGGTTGGGTGTAAACGGGATTGCCTATTAGGGGCCAATAAGCCCTCTGCGGCTTCCTCCATTCTTACTGTATGTTCCTACTTTCTGATGTAAGGTTGTTATAGTGAGTAAGGTTGTTATAGTGAGTAAGGTTGTTATAGTGAGTAAGGTTGTTATAGTGACTAAGGTTGTTATAGTGACTAAGGTTGTTATAGTGACTAAGGTTGTTATAGTGACTAAGGTTGTTATAGTGACTAAGGTTGTTATAGTGAGTAAGGTTGTTATAGTGAGTAAGGTTGTTATAGTGATTAAGGTTGATATAGTGAGTAAGGTGGTTATAGTGATTAAGGTTGTTATAGTGAGTAAGGTTGTTATAGTGACTAAGGTTATAGTGATTAAGGTTGTTATAGTGACTAAGGTTGATATAGTGAGTAAGGTTGTTATAGTGATTAAGGTTGTTATAGTGACTAAGGTTGTTATAGTGAGTAAGGTTGTTATAGTGACTAAGGTTGTTATAGTGACTAAGGTTGTTATAGTGACTGTTGTTATAGTGACTAAGGTTGTTATAGTGACTTGTTATAGTGATTAAGGTTGTTATAGTGACTAAGGTTGTTATAGTGACTAAGGTTGTTATAGTGACTGTTGTTATAGTGATTAAGGTTGTTATAGTGAGTAAGGTTGTTATAGTGACTAAGGGTGTTATAGTGACTAAGGTTGTTATAGTGACTGTTGTTATAGTGATTAAGGTTGTTATAGTGAGTAAGGTTGTTATAGTGACTAAGGTTGTTATAGTGAGTAAGGTTGTTATAGTGACTAAGGTTGTTATAGTGACTAAGGTTGTTATAGTGACTAAGGTTGTTATCGTGACTGTTGTTATAGTGATTACGGTTGTTATAGTGACTGTTGTTATAGTGATTAAGGTTGTTATAGCGAGTAAGGTTGTTCTACCATAAAGTGAGTCAGTGAGTATATCCTAAATGGGATCTCCAAAGTGTAGAGTTGCTGTAGTGCTCCACAGGTGTGTGTTTTACCTGGCAGAGATGTTACTTACCTGTGTAGGTAATGTCGTAGCAGCCCACTGGAGTGTTCCCCGTCAGTTGGTGACAGGGGGCGGCCACCTCCTGAGGACACATATTATCGCTTCCTGTAAAATTTGTAAGAGAAATAAGGGATCAATTACATAGGACTTTAGTGGTATATTGTTTATAAGTCCGACATTTTGAGAGTTCATCTGTCACAACATTTCGATCGCAAACAAACATTTCTGACAAAAACTTTAATGTGTTGACTTTAGTGAACTCATGCCGTATGCTGCAAAGAACTGCTGTTACATTTTGAGTACTTTATAGATTATTGATGAAATGATTGCTTGAACTCTTAAACAACTATTACAAGACCCTGTTAAAACAGTGTCAAGATACAGTAGTATTTTTATTTTGTCATTGGACGTGAGAGGGAGCTACAGGAACGAGAAATACAGTACAAGGGATGATAGTGACGGATGATAATAGTTCAACTAAATAGGACAGAACTTGCGAGGAGAAGAGTTGACGAGATAATGAATGTGTGTTGAGACGTGAAGCCAGGGGAAGGGGGTGGGGTGTGATAGACTGGAGTATTGACCATGACACGAGTGGTAGAAGAAAAAACGTAAGGAGACATAATTATCTTTGAATGCAGAGAAGGGGAGGAGGACGTGAGGGATTGATATGTGACAAGGATGAATGTTTTAATCTTGTCTTATAATGGCACAGGTCCTTCTTTTTGACCGTCCCTCGTGGCTGACACTGTACTGTACCTCTAAGGGAAGGGACGATCATCAGCTTGGATACCTACAATCACCTTTCATGTGTTTTTTTTTGGATAGACTTAAAAATAAACATACTCAGAGAAACACTGCAATCGGCCAACGCTAACAGAAGTAGCGGCAGAAAGATTGCTCGATTCATCGCCTTGTTGGACGTCGATCAGCTGTTATTCTGTAACAAAACATCAATTAGATTTTTTTATATATGATGCACGAAAATACATGGAAAAGTAACATTATCGGGAATGTCAACTTGGTAATCAAATTCACATAAGTTTCTGATATATTATTTGCGAGACCTGTTTTAAGCTATACTCTGACACTATAAAATAGACTGACACATACTCTATCTACATTATAAAATACATACTCACTTCACGCGTATATACTTGCCGAAAGTGATAAACCTGAATACTGTATCAGATATGAGCTCAAATGGTTACCAGAGCTTTTGAGAGTCGGCGTGTGTGAGTGGTGCGTCCAGGCGGGTCTATTGCAGGAGGGAAAGTGAACTCAGTTGGACTGGAGCTCTAACACAATAATTCGTGTGTGAATAAAACGTGCTAAGTCAAGGTTACAGGTTAGTATGACAGATGGGCGATAATACTCAAAAGTTTTTATTTATGAGTAGAGTATTGTCCAGTCAAATAGTAAGTATATTAAGAAGGGGAAATTTAAAGTAGATAAACATACAAAAGAAGAAATTAAAAATAAAATTACAGAAAAGGGGGAAATTAAAAGTAAAAATACAGGAAAAATGGGAAATGTTATGTAATGTCGCCAAACACTACTTAATGACACCATCATCAACAAACTCCATTTAGGATCCACTTCATGCCACATAACTATACCATTCAACTTTGTTATGAGAACATCACCGTGTATAGTTGAAAGAACAGTATAATGGAAGATAATATAGTTTTGGTACGTCGAGTAATTGGTGAGGCGACAACATGGACCGGACTACACGCACACTACTACTTCTACTTTGCTGTCACTTGGAATCGAGTATGACGATCATTCAGCTATAATACATTGATATGAGTTATTAAGGATGTCACCTTCGTTGGTGAGCTCTGAGGGGACTCGATAGGCTGATACGGGACCGGCAAAGTCGTTCACAGATTTGAACATGTGGAGGGCTATATCTAGTGCGGGAGGGGCGGCGACAGCGTCTTTTCGGCGTTTGCGCTCGTCTTCCTTGGAATACAGTCGGGCTAACTCGAAAGTACTGACACCTTCTCGTGTGGTGCTCCTCCAAGGGTTACGGTGTGGAGTAATCGACTCCCAGGTGAGGGGGGGGGGGGTCGATTTGGCACTTTTTCAGGTTTGTCTTAAGACTATCCTTATACCTTTTTTGTTATCCGTAGAGAAAAGTCCGTTATATGGAAGTTTGATGTATGTCTTCATTTGTTTTCTTGTCTTTACTGACCACTTAAGTGGAGTTGTATGGCGACTTTATTGTTTCTCTTCCTCTCTCTCTCCCTCTCCTTCCGTCCGTCCGTCCGTCCGTCCGCCTGTCTGTCTGTCTGTTCCGTCTAATAAGAGAACCATCGGAAACTTCATTCTTTTCGCTCCAAACTTGCAATCGATCAAATCAAAGGAAGCTCGCGATTAATTAAGTCACACTGAGGATGGCGCCAAAATTTGTTTTCGAATATCTGGCAGATTTGAGGCTAGACTAATTATTTAGTCATTTTGAGCATAAATTTTAATCTAATCGCTACAAAATTGGACTGATAATTACTGATTTCCAGCCCAGAGGGTGTTTTATCCCCGTTATCCATACATTTTACGAGCCACCTTATTATACCCTATGCACTGTTAACTCCCGAGCACTGAATTCCTTATGCTAGTTCTCTTCCTTTACACGATTCCATGCGTAACTGATGCAGCTCTCATTTTAATATCATTTCCCATATTAAACACTCATTTGTTTTTATTATTATGCAATTTTTAAAGGGAGTAACGCAGCATTTAACGAACTGTAAAACCCAGTATCAAGGAATGACCTTAGAAAACCGGCCAACTCGCCAACCGCACTGGGTAATCACTACCCGGAAACGCAATCCGCCAGTCGTATATAAAGACGAGTGATGCAAAGCAACTTGCCGGGGATTCACTCAGTACTTACATTAAAGCGAATCAAAAATAACTTATATTAAAAATCGTTATGCATACTGAATATAAGTTTAATATCTCATCTTAGTCAACCAATAGTCTGATTAGTTTGTTCTGAAATCTAAATTATGTGCAGGAAGCTATTTTAAACCACCCATATAACCTTCGTATCACAGTAATTTCATAATCGTATCCTGTTGTCACTTTGCGTATAATGAAACATTGTTGCCACGGACAGGAAGGTAACACCCACTCCAAACTCCACATTATTGTTTATGCTTTAATTGATGTTATACAGAGGTTGCATGTGAGCATAGAGCTGTCTGTGTATTTTCAAATTATTTCATTTGTATTATATTGAGTGTAATTTACGTATACATACAGTATATAAGGGAAAGTAAAGGGATTTAATTTTAATAGTTTTCTGAACATACACAATAGGAGACATGTTGGATAACCATAATTTTCTCTCATCAACTTTCTTCTGTCCACTTTCTTTAAATGTTTTCTTGTCATCCCGTCAGATTTCGTCTGGTTTCTCTTTCGTCGTAACAGTTGCACCAACAGGTAACTGTACATACATATTTAAGATACATCTTGCGTTTTACCTTTACTTTTATTCTCTTCGCCACTGATCGGCTCGTTAGCCGCTTGGGTGATCGGCCACGTCTCTGTTACACACTGTTGGCAGTACTGGGCATGAACCTGTAGTGGACGTCTCCCCTACAACTGCGTATCGCATTCCGACGCGCTGCCGTACCCTAGCAACCAAGCGAGAGCTGACACCAGATGGTACGGTAGCCTAGCAACGAAACTACTCACAGGCGACTTTCTGGGTTTTCCCAACATGATTCATAGAGGACTGGCGGCTGCTGCTGGGTATATAAGCTCTGTCTCCCCATTGAGATTCATTCTGCCCATCTTCCTGAACAAGCAACACCTCCTCCAGCAAGCTCCACGCTGTCAGCATTCATTCAACCAGGAGGCCAGCAACAGGCAACATCTTCTCTAACGAACCTCCTGCACATCTACCTCCTTCAACACGCTACTCACTGAACGTCTCTACTGAGCAGCTCCTCACCACACGGCACCTCCAGCACCAGACTGTCTATCATATAACTTATATTATACAAGAAAACCACATTAGAGTTTCCTTCCATCCTGAGTGCTAGACAACATTAATATTTCGATACCCCTACAATGGTGACTCCTGGAGATAAGCACTCACACAGGATGGAGGACGGACGGATCTCTCTGCCGACTTTCAACCACAACGTCGAGGACTGGCTAGACCATGTGGAAGCAGCCCTCGCCGGCTCACGAGCGACCGACGAGCAAAAGTATTGCGCCCTGCTCTGTGCCTTGCCCACGGAAGTGGCCACGCGGGTCTCACAAACCATTTCCAACCCTCCAGATGACAACAAATTCGCTACCCTGCGGGCTGCCTTGAAGACGTGTTATCAACAGACCAGCCCCAATCTCCAGCAAGATCTATCCTCTACCTCCCTCGGGAACTCAACCCCGGGACGTCTCTGGGAGGAGATGTGTCGGCTGAACTCCCGTCACACAGACAGACTCCCCGACTCTATCCTGCGCCAGCTTCACGCACAAAAGCTACCCACAGAAGTACGCACCATCCTGTCCGCAGTAGATTACTCTACGACACCGGAACTATATGCAACCGCGGCAGATAGAATTTTTAACGAGTGCGCTGCTGCACCCCTTGCCGCCACGGTCACACCAGTACCTACCATCGAACTTGTAAGCCGGGTCAACACCCCTCAGCCGAGCAATACCTCACAAGACATCAAGGACCTGTTGCAAATTTTGAACCGCAGGATGGACACCATTGAGCAGTTCTGCTCCTCCATACCCGCTGCTGCGCCGGTTCCTGACTCACACACTACGCCCTACAAGTTCCGACACACAGCAGCCAACCCCCAGCACAACAAATTTACCCTCTGCTGGTATCACCAGACTTTCGGCCGCAATGCTCGAAACTGTGAGCCCTATTGCACCTATTCGGGAAACGGCAACACGGGAGGCTGGTAGACGCCTCAGCCTCCGTCCCTCCAGGCGTCTCATTACTGCGCGTCACCGACCGCACCTCCGGCAAGAAGTTCCTCATCGACACCGGTTCATTGGTCAGCCTCATCCCTCCCTCACTACGAGACAAGTCAAAGCAACCCTCGTATGACCTGTTCGCTGCCAACGGTACCTCCATCGCCTCCTACGGCGTACGCACCCTCGCCTTAGACCTCGGTCTGCCCAAGACTCTGCGTTGGTTATTCGTGATAGCAGACGTGTCTCAACCCATCCTTGGTTTCGACTTCCTCACCTTCCACAAGCTCGGCGTCAAACCAAGTCATCTATGCCTCATCCATGAGCCTACAGCACGCGAGATCCAGGGTTCTCGTGCCAGACACACCGACACTATCACCTGTCTTGCGCCTTCCAACGAGTTCTCCTCCCTGCTCGACGAATTCAAGGAGCTTTTCTCACCCCGAGTCTCCCTACCCCCACCACCTACATCGGGAATTTTCCACCACATCGAAACCAAAGGACCACCAGTCTTTTCACGCCCTCGCCGCCTGCGCCCTGAGCTCCTGTACTGTCAGTAAGTCGTGTCGGAGGGTGTGTGGCGACTACAGAGCCCTGAATCTCGTCACCAAACCTGACAGGTACCCTATTCCGCATGTCCAGGACTTTCACCACAAACTTCATGGCAAGACTATCTTCTCGAAGATCGACTTGGAGCGTGCCTTCCACCAGATCCCAGTAGCACCGGCAGATACCCAGAAGACAGCCATCACCACTCCATTCGGACTCTTCGAGTACACTTTCATGAGTTTTGGCTTACGCAATGCAGCACAGACTTTCCAGAGGTTCATGGACCATATGCTTCGCGACCTCGATTTTGTCACCGTCTACATTGACGACATCCTCGTCGCATCTTCGACGCCTGCCGAGCACCGCCACCACCTACAACTCCTTCTCCAACGCCTGCAGAACAACAACATGAAAGTTCATCCTGCTAAGTGCGTCTTTGGAACCTCGGCCATCGATTTCCTCGGTCACAGAGTCTCGCCCAGTGGCATACAACCCCTACCACAGAAGATAACCGCGATTAGGGAGTTCCCCAAACCTGAAACGGCGAAGAAACTCCGAGAAGTCCTGGGTTTAGTCAACTACTACCACCGCTTCATTGACAAAGCTGCCACTGTCCTAGCCCCCCTACACGACCTTCTCAAGGGACACCCAAAGAAGTCTCACAAGTCTCTCATGTGGACTCAAGAGGCTACTACGGCATTCACCACTATCAAACAGCACATCACACGCCTCACTAGGGTGTGTCATACGGAGGCGAATTTTTTTTTTTGAGTTTGAAAAATCGGCCCATGGTATTAATGATGTAGTTCTATGTGCA